GTTGTGGGCTTGTTCCGCGGGGGGGCCGAACCACGAGTCGTTCACGAACAAAGAGTCATTTTGACAACCCTAATCATGTAGTCATGAGATATTAAGGATTGGGACAAGATTTAAAATATCATTTGAATCTAATTTAATAATTTTTATTCTTTTTTCTTCATTAATATTTTTATTTGATTATAAATATTTGTAGCCTTGTAGTCAATTAAATTTTTAAAAAAAGACTACTCATCAAAAATATATATATATAATTGGTTGGTAGTATTTCGAGTCAAAATGTGCCGAACATGAACGAACAAATATTTGTTCCTGTTGTTCATGTTCGCGAACGAGCCGAACACGAGCTTCTTAACGAGTCGAACACAAGCTGTTCGTGAACAACGAGCTGTTCGTGAACAACGTGTGACAGGCCTACTTTAAAGGCAAATTTACATGAATAGCCCACAATTCTTATGTATTTACAATCCTCACACTTAAACTTTCATATTTACATAAATAGCAGCACTTCACTGTTCTAAAGGCATACATGAAGAATGCATTACAAAAGTGATAACAGTGCTGTTTTGATGAAATATTAAATATTTGAGGACCATATACGTAAATATGAAAGTAAAGTTGTTAGAAATGTAAATATATAAGAAGTGTGTGATATTTATGTAAATGTTTTCATACAGAAATTAAATTTAAATAATAATAACAATAAAATGAGAAATTACATAAATACCATACAATCAGAGGTGAAATCAGGCTAATTCCGTGTAGCAATCCAATGATATCATAATATGATGTTAAATATATGAGTAATATGCATGTAATATAAGACTTTAGGTGTTAGATATGTAGATAAATAATAATTGTGTGATATATACGAAATTCCCCAAAGAAAAAGTATTTTTGCATGCTGCACCTATCTAGTTAGCGGAAATTTTAACAATAGTCTCAAAGAACATCCTGATCAAAATTTTAACAAGGATAGCCTGAATAGGTTTAAGAGCAATGCCAAATAATTGAATTTTCCACCTGTAATGCTAAACCTGACCAGAAAGGAGAATTTTTCTAAAAAAGTATTATTTTCAAAATTACCATCTCCAATAGCAAGAGTCATATCAACTATTCTGCTCTTAATTAACATATCTATCTCAACCTTCTGTAACTTTTTATATTCTTATCTTAATGGTTGCAAACTTGTGTTGCCTTCCAAAATTAAGAGTAAGAGGAATCATCTTAAAATACTTTTTATATTATTTTCTTAAAATAGTTGCAAATTTGTGTTGCCTTCCAAAATTAAGAGTAAGAATAATCATTTTAGACATTTTTTTGTATTTTTATCTTAAAATGGTTGCAAACTTATGTTGCCTTCCTAAATTAAGAGTAAGAATAATTTTAAAAGATTAAGTTTGGTCCGAAAAGAAACTCTATGTTGATTTCATGTACCCTTTATATAAATTGTATATTTGTTATCTAATTGAAATAAGAATTAAGAGTCTTACACCGGATACTTGCGAGCCTACAACAAGCATATATAAAGTCTCATACGCTAAAAACATCTTCAGCCTGCTAACCATATAATTAAGAGTCTTACAACAAAAATCAAAAGTTAGTATTATCATCTCCACAATTCAATGATTAAAGTCTAATATGCTATCTCCACAATTCAATGATTAAAGTCTCATACACAATTCAACATTGCTATCTCCACAAATTACATGAATAGTTTGTATTATAAAAAATGCATTAGATTTTACATTATTATAACCTGAGAATGACCATATAAAATTGGAAGCACATTAAATTTACATAGAGCATGCCATGCATTTAATGACACTGCAAATTTCAAAATTTTTATAATAAAAGTCTAACTACAGAAGTACGATTCATCAAGCCTATTCTGAATGACTCGCGACAAACCTCGCTTGTGAGACAAGATAAATAGTTTAAAACCACATCATGTCAGCCCAACTTTATAAACAAGACCACATAGCAGACATGTTGAACTACTACACTAAATTACCTGTAGCTATCTAATCAGTAGAAACCTCATTGCACCATAAAATTTAATAATTGCCAACGCCATATATTATAGAAAGTTTGACTTGAGTTTTGATGACAGAAAATGTCTTCTAAATTCTAGACATTGCATTTCCTAAACAAAATAATTAAAAATTGTCATCTCCTACAGCAAACATATATAAAGTTTCATACGCTAAAAACATCTTCAGCCTGCTAACCTTAACAATTAAAGTTTTATAACAAAAATCAAAAGTTCAACATTGTCATCTTACAAAAAAAATGAAAAATTTTATCTTCAATCTGCATAAATGAAAGCCTACAGCAAGCATAATTAACATACACTAAAGTTCAACATTGAATCTAAGAACCCATGACAAAGAATAACATCTTTCATAGGTGAAAAAACAGAATGAAACCCCACAGTACGCATAAAGTTCAGCATAAAGTATAATTCAATCAACAAAGCATAAATTTTAGCATGCCCAAAACTCTACTAAAAGAAGTGTCAAGTGTCAACATCTAATTAGACATATATGTTTGAACATTCTATCAATCTACTCAGGCAAAGTCACTTGAAGTTGTTCCTCTTCTATTAATTCTTGTTGAAACAAAAATATATATACAAATTAATGATAAGAACATAAAATGAAAAGGTTAACATATGTTATAAATGACAACAATTCCATAAAGAAAATAATAATTTACTCGAGCCTCAAAAGTGATAAAGGCTTACTACTGAATGCAACCATTTTCATTCTTGTAGAAATCTTCCCTATAAATTTTGGATGGATACCATACAAACTACATTTCATCTCAACAACAGAATGTCTGCCAAAGCTACTAATGATATCTCTACCTATGAACAAGTTCACAATTCCTCACCATTGTTATATCAGATCTCATCCAGATAATAAAAAAAAGACGAGATTGCACAACTGCTCTGCCAAAAAGCCCGAAACCCTACGAAGTTAGGTTTCACAAAAAAAAATCTAAATACATCAAAAAGAAATTTAAGAGAAATTTAGATAGAGACGAACCGAAGATAAATATAAAATATTAGATAGAAGATACTCCAAAATAACACCTAGGTAGCCAAACGAGCGACCAAGCAAGAATACCGAGCAATCGAGCCGACACAGACTATCCAAAAAGAAATAGAAGCCGATATTAGAAGATGAACGGAGACGGCAAACCCTAGGTTGTTGCGGCCGAAATAGTTTCTAGAGAAAAATGGGAGGGAGAGGCACCTGAACCCGAGTGGCGAGAAAGCTCGAGAGAGGAAATAGGAATGGGGAGGTGGCGGTTAGGGACTTAGGGTTTACTTTAGAATTTTGATAGTATAAATGTTAAAATATTTTAATTATTAAACTTATATTATATTATTATATAAATATATAATACTAATATTAATATATTAATATTTATATTTTGTTATATATAATTATTAATTGAATTTAATTTTACAAAATTTTACAATATATCTTTTTTAAAAAAATAATTAATTAAAATTTTTAATATTTAATTTTATGAATATTATATATATATACTTAATTATTTTCGAGCTAATTCAAGCCGAACGCGAGCGAACAAACTTTTGTTCGTGTTCGGCTCGTTTACATTTCGAACTTAAAAATTTGTTCGTGTTCAACTTGTTAGGCTTAATGAACGAGTCGAACACGAGCTACTTCTGTTCGCGCACAACGCGTCGAATTGACAGCCCTACCCATTAGTGGACATATTTAAAACATTATTTGAATCTAATTTAATAATTTTTATTATATTTTCTTTATTAATGCTTTAATTGATTATAAATCTTTGTAGCCTTGTAGTCAACTAAATTTTTAAAAAAGACTTCTCATCAAATATATATATATAATTGATTAGTAGCATTTCGAGCCGAAATGAGCCGAACTCGAACAAACAAATATTTATTATTTGTTCGTGTTCGGCTCGGTAAATTTACGAACAAGCCGAACACGAGCTTCTACGAGCTTCTTAACGAGTCAAACACGAGCTGTTTGTGAACAACGAGCCTTTTTTACGGCCCTACTTAAAAGGCAAATTTACATGAATAGCCCACAATTCTTATGTAAGTAAATAGCAGCACTTCACTGTTCTAAAGGCATACATGAAAAATGCATATTTCACTTTACAAAAGTGATAACAGTGCTGTTTTGATGAAATATTAAATATTTGAGGACCATACATGTAAATATGAAAGTAAAGTTGTTAGAAATGTAAATATATAAGAAGTGTGTGATATTTATGCAAATGTTTTCATACAGAATTTAAATTTAAATAATAATAACAATAAAATGAGAAATTACATAAATAGCCTACAATCAGAGGTGAAATCAGGCTAATTCCGTGTAGCAATCCAATGATTTCATAATGTGATGTTAAATATATGAGTAATATGCATGTACTATAAGACTTTAGATGTTAGATATGTAGATAAATAAGAATTGTGTGATATACACGAAATTCCCCAAAGAAAAAGTATTTTTGCATGCTGCACCTCTCTAGTTAGCGGAAAAATATTACATCACATCAGAACTCTTAACGTAGAGCTACGTTCGGATTGGAATGTTCGGCTGTGTTACGAGAATATTTCATCTGCATTATTTGTAAAAATAATGTGTTATTTGAGTATTATATTGTGTTATTCGATTATTTTGCGGTGTTATTGAATATTTCATCGCATTACTTGATTTGGGGCTGAAGTGTTATTGGAATATTTCCTCGCATTACTTGATTTAGGGTTGTGTTATTCCAATAATATAATGAAAATTGAAATAACACGGGAAATATGCGAATAACATAGCCCCAAATCAAGTAACACGATGGAATATTCGAATAACAACGCAAAATAATCGAATAACATCATATATTACTTGAATAACACATCATTTTTACAAATAACGCAGATGAAATATTCTCATAACACAGCCGAATATTCCAATCCGAACATAGCTCTACGTCAGGAGTCCTGATGTAATATTTTTCCCTAGTTAGCATACACCAATTTTACAGCAAAAATAACTAATTACATGGAGAAAAGTGCAAATCTAAAATTACACAGGATATCCTGAGACTTCATGCCTCAGTGACAACAAGCCATCAAAGCAAACCAAAAATAAAATTTACAGGGATATATATGTAAAAGAAAAAAAAAAGGAGAAGTTAAAGTCTTTTTTTAGCTAGTTTTCTCTGCATATTTCTCCACTTGTCCTTGAGGTCAATGGGAGTGCGAGATGGATGAAGAAAACGCCGGCCATGTTCCAATATCTTTATCCATGCGATGCTTCCATCTTCATTTCTCGGAACCTTCTCCATGGCTTCCTGGAAAACAACAAATTAATCATATAATTATATAATCTGACTGATTGATGATTGATTGGAATATTTACATGTATACTACTCAGTTGTTATATCTTTACATATCTAACACCTAAACATTAATTTACATGCATGTGTCATCTTATCTGTGCATGAAGAGCGATGCGAAAGATTTGGGTGGTATAAATGTAAAATAAAAAAGTATAGGAGTTAGATATGTAAAATACATAAGAATTGGGTGGTATCAGTGGCGGAACCAGCTTCTTTTCAGGGAGGGCAAATCTTTAAGTGTTATGTGGGTAAATATAAAATTTACAGTGTTGGATATGTAAATACATACGAATTATGTGGCATAGATGTAAACATGCAACGCTTTACTAATATATTATCAGTCCTGCACAAGCCAAATTTAGAAAATTTAGGCATGGTAATCTGATCTAAAAAAATATATCATTTTTATTTGAGATGTGAGATGATTGCCATTACCACATGAGATGACAAGAGCTTTCATGAACACGGAAAAATCACAGGGCTAGCTTTCATCCAACATACAGAACTTAAATAAAGGTAGAAAGTGAACTATCAGCAAGTTTTCTGTGATGCTGAAGATTACAAACTTTTCAATCTACTTTGCATTGATTAATAATATTATCGAGTCAATATATATTACGATGTTTGATAATTTTAATTGCAGAAGAAGCTCTCTCACTTGTAACAGTAGCAACTGATAAAGTTAATGCTAATGTATTAAGTCTGTAAACAAGAGGATACAAACAATCTTTCTTAGTTTTAACAAACCCTTTTGCAAGTCAGTAATGCTTCTTTAAAGTAAAAAATCATCACTAGAGCACAACTCAATAATATAAATGAATAACTAATAATTGAGAGCTATAAACACAATTGAAGAAAAATAAATGGGATATAACTCTGCAAGACGAATTAGTTTTTCCTTATCAAAAGTTGAGAATGAATCATTTGGATTTAGACAAGCTATACAAAGAAGCAACTTGATACTCGCTTCAGGGAAATGGCCATTGAACTCTTTAAGTTAAAAGTCAATCACACTGTAGAACAACTCAACCCGATAATAATACAAATTTGTAATTTCTTCACATCTTCGTATTGAAATTCACTTTGGAACAACAATTTCAAAACCATTACAAAAAACGAGCCACTTCTTCTAATAAGGAATCTCATTCATTCTCTCGCATTATTTGCAACCGTTGTTTTGAAACATGTACTGATTTCATTGCATTCACAATATCTTAATCTTTTTTTTATTTGGATTGTGACAATTCATTTGTAACCCATAAAATATCAATCATTAAATGCATCGTGAAGCCAAAGTTAAAACTTTCCAATTGCGTCATTTAAAACACCAGCTTCAACTGAATGCTGACATGCATTTCATCCTCTTTTATAATCTCAAGTACTTCAAGTACGGATGTGTACATTTTCATGAGACTAATTAAAGTATAAAAATGTGAGCTCCAACGGGTGCCTCCAGCTCGTTGCAAAGTAGTTGATTCAAACTACAACTGCTAATTAAATTCTCGTCTCTAAGATGTAAAAAATTATGTTTCATGTTGAAAGGTTTTAAGTGTATCACTCCTCTTACAAGAGACTCCAACAGTGTTTAAGAATCTTAAAGTGAGCTCAAAAGATGTTTCCCTGTCAAAGTTTTTTCACTACAGCTAACAAACATAACTAAAGCTGATGGGCGAAGCAATGAAAATAGAATGCTTAAAGATTATCATTAAGAATGCGTGCTTTGACTCACCTCGAATATTGGATGCCATGTCATAGCCTTGCCCTCGTATCCTATGTAAGCTTAATGAATGTTTTGCAAGTATGGATTCAAGAGTTGTTTTGAGTACAACTAAGGTTGTTGAGAAAATATATTTAAGACCAATAAATTGCCATTTTTTATCGACACATCTCACAGCAACAGCCAAATATTCCTATGTTGACACATTATGAGGCTCTTCAACTATGATGATAAAGAAAGAATCACTAATATCTATCATGATATAAACTAAAGTTTCAACTGATGCAGCTTGACAAAGTTTTTTTTTTAAATATTTGGTGAAAGTAATTGTAGTTTTGAATTGACATTTTAAAATGTAACCTTTTTTATTTCTTCATTATGATTCGCAAGAAAATGAAATAGTTCTTAATAATTTCCTTGATAAAGCTAATTTAAATGATTCATCATGCCCACGAAATGAAAATCCTTGTCGTAGAAGAAATCCAATACAATCAACAGTTGCAGTCAACATAATCATAAATTCTTTTTTATTCCTCTCTTCCTTACTCAACCATATGGTGGAATAACTCTGTATTTCAGGCTTTATTAGATTTTCACATTTTGTTCTTGTCTTATTACGAGCAATGTTATGATCTCCAACATGAGCTAAATATTTTTCTTTTTTCTTCCAATTTTTAAATCCTTCATTAACAAATGAATCTCCACCTTCTTGACTTATACTAACCAGTCCTTGAGGCTTAAATAGATAACAAAAGAGGCAATATATTGCATCTTTTTGCACATTGTACTCTAACCAAGATGGATGATCCTCAAACCAAGTTGAAATAAATCTCCGAGTAATGTTACTCATCACTGTTTGGGGAAAATTATAATTTTTTTATTGATATGGTTCTTTAAGCAAATATTTTCTTCATACTCTTTCTCTATCATTTACATCATAACTACAGATAGAAGGCCGAAGTCTAGGGTCAATCGGAAGATTATCCATATCAATTTCCACCGGTTCTTTTCTTTTTAAATAACGATCCATTCAATAAAATTTTACATAAAAAATATAGTATCAATATAAATAATTAAAATTTTATTATCAAATATCTTTAACATGAATATTAAAAGAACATTTGCTAACAAGCAAATCAATCAAAACCTAATAATTTAATAATACTTAACAACATATTTTCTCAGTAATGGGAATTTTGAATCTATTAAAGCATGTTATCGTATTGATCAATCTATCATTCACAATCTAATTATTCCTTTTCATTTGGAGCATATTATAAGAAGTGACACATACCTTCTCAAAAAGATTGCGACAACCTTGATTGCCCCGAAGGTCAACTTTTGACCGATTAATAACTTCTTGGATATATTTTCAGCAAAATATATCCACAATTTCTTAGTGATCTTCAAGACATACATTATGGTATCATGTGAATTATGCAAACTCCATCAATGTTCAATGTGTAAATATAAGCATGGTAGGATTTACTAACATCAAGAGTTGTTACGCAAAAAGCTTCATCATTGAATTTTAGGTTATAATGGAGCAAAAAAAAAAGGTTATACAACTGTGCTTAGAGTAAGAAAAACGAATAGCAATGTGAATTTTAACAGTGCTAGAGAAATAACCCATTCAAATGAAAAATTTCACTAACACCTTCTCTAGATATCTCAAAAATTAAAAAAATCTGATGTGTTATTTGATGAGTGGGAGGAAGTGAGACGTAGAAGAGGACACGAGGGTTGCCTTAGGTCTCAGGTAGAAAGACTTTTGGGAATTTCTAAGGTGTTTGTACTCAATCCTGTCGATCCTTCCCTTCTGGTGTCTACTTGCCAAGAGATCCAGGGAGAAGTCGAGAAGAGGCAAGGAGTTGAGCCATTGAGAAGACCATGAGGTAGGAGGGTTTGGTGTCCGGCATCTGGCTTGCTTCATCCGCGACGTGCCCTAGACCTTAGTAGACTCGCGATAAAAACAAGAAGGGGAAGGATCGGAGGCAAACGATGGGCGAGGGGGGCAAGCAATTTCATGAGGTGAGGAGGGGAGAGGGAAATGCCGAAATATTCCTTTCAAGATGTTTTTTATCTGAAAATCTTGGTGGAGCTACCACCACCACCATAGAATATCGTGGGTTCATCCGTGGTTGGTATGCATGTAAATGCCCCTAATATATGTCCATATTTTTAAGGCTGATGTATCAAGGGAAGCTTAAATAAAAGGAGGAAATTTACATGGATATCCACACAAATTCTTATGTATTTATATATCTAACACCTAAAATTTCAAATTTAGGTTTATAACACTGTCAAAACCTATACATGAAAAGGTGTATTTCACTTCTAAGAAGTTTTTAGTAGTGGTATTTTGAAGTGATATTAAAGATTTGAGTGTAAAATAAGAAAGTTTGGGTGTTAGATATGTAAATACATAAAAATTAGGTGGTAAATATGTAAATGTAATAAGTATAGGTGTTACATATGTAAATACATAAGAATTGGTTGGTATGCACGTAAATACCCCTAATAAATTTTGATATTTTTAAGCCTGAAGTATCAAGAGAAGCTAGAATAAAAAGAGAATTTACATGGATACCCACACAATTCTTATATATTTTTATATCTAACACTTAAAATTTCATATTTAGAATTTATAACACAAAAGATGTATGTTTCTTCAATGAAGTTTGTAATAGTGGTATTTTTTGAAGTGATATTAAAGATTCGAGTGTAACGTAAATAAGAAAGTTAGACATGTGGTGAAATGCGCATACCGCTAAAGCTTCTTCTTCCTCCGGCTTCCAAACTAGAATTGTTCTCCTGCTGGGGGACGGTTTCAGATTAATGCTGCAACATCAGATGGTATTCAAAAATGGGTAAAAATTAGAGTCCGTTCATTTGAATATCAATGAATAAAATAGTATGTTTCACTTTTAAAAAATGATAATAGTTTTATTTCTTATAATGATATTAAAGATTTGGGTACTACGTATGTAAATATTAAGATATGTAAATACAAAACAATTAAGTCATGTATGTAAATCTCCAAAAAAAGCTATATACAAAATAAAAAACTTGCAGTCAGGCATCTTACCATTGATTCCGGTGATGCATGTTCTTCCTCAACTCTCTTGAAGATGAGCTGCCCTTTCCCTGATTTTCAACAACTCCCTCATTATCGATCTTTGCAGCTTTATTTCCTCTGCTTCGCTTCGAAAAACTCTCGCCGATCTGCAAAGCTAAAGCCTTTCTCTTCGCATTATGATCGAGCTCTCCTTCGACCTTCTGAGCTGATCTTTCACTTCCCTCTAAAGATATCTGTTTCTGATCCGCATCACCATTTCGCATATTTTTAATCTCCCCAACCTCATGGTCCGCGCCTTTAAATTCATTCTGCTGATTTTGAAAATTTTCAGGGTGACTTTCTCGGAGAAACTCGCATTCGCTCGTTTCATTATTTTGAGTCTCATCGCATTCCGGCACACTTTCTGCCCAAGTTTTTGCAGAAGAAACTTTCTCTCTCGGGACTTCAGCTGTCGAACTGATATGATAGAACGACAAAAGGTTTCTGCGAGCTTCCCGAGCTTTTCGCTTCGATTTCTCGTACATTATTCGTGCATTTCGATAAGCACAGAAGGGGCAATAGAAATGGCAATTTTCGTCAACACCAGGCAACATATCCAAGCAGCTTCTATGAATGGATCTGGAACAGCCGTCGCTGTTACAGTTCAAAAGATGGCCGCTTGTACCGCATTTTATGCAAGAGGTTTGCAGAGATGACGGAGGCATCGAAGTCTGCTCTGCTACTTCGTGCAAATCAGCTCTATCATCTGGAAGAACCATTTGACTCTGAGATTGTTGTGCGGATCGATGCGATCCTTCGAAGTGGCTTATGTCGTCATTTGGAGCAGGAACATAAGTAGTTTGCTGATTTCTCTTTTCGTCGTCAGGAAGTATTTGATTGAGGAAATGCTGCGGAGTTCTCAAAGTTCTTTGAGAAGATCCGTCGAAAGTACTCGAAGGCGAATTATTATCGAGATTTTTCAATTCTCGATATTTTCTGATTATAGAAAGCTTCTTCAACCATGGGTTTGCATGCTTCATGGTTCTTATGATTTTCTTTATGTTATCATGATCTCCAGTATTGTTAGAAGTGAGATGATTAACACAATCAGGATGATGGCTTCTGAGAATTTTCTCCTTCAGCTGGAACATAAAGTCATATAAGAACAACATGAGCAGTGAAGAAACAGCAAATTTTTATCTTCGGAGATTTATATAAATACCATATCTTTTTAAAAATAAAATACACATTTTCGTGTATAGTTTTATAATACCAAGGTTTTATAAATATAAATATCAAATTTTGGTTGTTAGATATGAAAATATACATAAGAAATGTGTGGTATGCATGTAAATTTCACTATTTTTATATTGGAAAATTTACATACATACCACACAATTCTAATGCATTTACATATCTAACATTCTAAACAGTCATATTTAAATGCATAACACTCAAATCTTTAACATCACATCAAACATACTACCATCTCTATCTTTCTAAAAGTAGAATACATATTTCCATGCATAGGTTTAAGACACCAAGGTGTTATAAAGCGTATATATCAAACTTTAGGTGATGGATATGTAAATATACAACAATTTCGTGGTATTTATGTAAATTTCCGGTTTCCTCTTTCAAACTCACATCTTCATTAAGAAAATACCAGATCAATAGATGATTTCGGAAGCGTCGCCTTCTTCAAAAGTATAAATTGGTGAAGATCGCCATCATCAAGGCAAGCTTTTCCCGTTCCATCATCGTTTGCTGCTGCCATCTAAAAATTTTTTTTTTATTTTTATTGGCAATCAGATTGCATAAAATAAACGAGAGTGTAATAAATTACGCAACAATTGATAAGAAAATAATTCTTACATGTTAACGAGATGCAAAAAGAGGGAAAGTGGAGGGGTTTAATAGCTAACAAAAAACAAACATATTTGAAGGAAATCATTAACTTCCTATAGAAGTTTGCAAGAAAAAAAAAAATTAATCTCATTCATCAAATAGGTCCGAGGAGGATACGATAGATATTTATGAAAATTTCATAACTCGAACAGTTAATTAATTGCCCTTACAATTACTTAGATAATAATAAGGGGCATTTACATACATACAAACCGATTCCCATGTACTTACATGTCTAACACCTACCCTTTATTTTTTTACATTTATACCACACAAATTTTCATATCATATCAATAGTACCACTATTTTGACTTTTAAAAAGTGAAATACACCTTTTCGTGCATATGCAAAGCGGTAATTAAAAATTGAATGTTAGATATGTAAATATATAGGAATCAAGTGATATGAATGTAAATCTTCCTAATAATAAATGAGTTCCAAGAGAAAAAGGTATAAGCGTTAGGAAAGAATAAAGAAAATATTAGCTTTGGTTAAAATTAAAATACAATGCTCGATCAAATCTAATATCTGATTGGATATTAATGACTAAATGCTTCATGGGCTCCATAAGTTGGTATGCTGGTCAACACTAAGACACAAGTCCACCTATATCATAATCTAAAGTCGCATACTTGCAGGGAAGCTTGGAATAACTTTACATTAACAAATTCATTTTATGTGTGCTTCAAGAATGATTTTGGAAAATTAAAGCCTACTCCACATCCAAGTAGAAAATATTGCATTATTATAAAAAACTAAAAGAAAACATTCAATATCCGGAATTTAAATCGAATTTAAATCGACAAAAGTGAATTTTAATCAGTGAGGGAAAAAAATTTAGAACTATTATAGATTTCTAAGCTCAATGCATGTGTATGCCTTCCAAGGTATGATATCGGCTAGATAGCAGCAAGTATGGGAGTCACAAATTGACCATACATGTCAGCTGAACCTGAACTGGACTCTAAAAATCTGGGTTCCAATTGACTCAAATAATTTTCGTGCCACGTTTGGATTAAGAATCCTGAACCCTTTAAAATTTTGAGTCGGGTTCGGGTGTACCTGCAAAGCCAAAATTGACTTGAAACTGACCCGTTAACTCAAAAAGGACTTGAAATCAACCCTCCAACCCGAATTGACCTGAATAGCTATTATGTCCAATCTTGAACGGTTTATACGATTTGGTATGAATTAGTGGGTCAAGTTTGCGTTGAACTTTCTGACCTGTTTAATATTCATGCAGGTTTAAGCCATTCCGGCCAGGCAATTTCAAGGCAGGTCAATTTTAGGTCAAACTCGAACCAAACCAGAAATGATTGACAATGAACTCAGGCTCAAGTATTACAAATCATATCCAAAGAAAAAAGACTTTGAAGAACAGTTGCTGCAATCTATTCATTGTATAAAATGGCAAATTTGCATCGGTACAAGCATACAGAGACTATGATTCTATGTGCTCTCTTTGCGCCTAAGCATTTTATAGCAAAGAATGCATAGTAGGCTACAAAGCATGAATAGGATAAAAGTATATGTGATATGATTGGCATAGATGCAACGATGCAAAAGATCTCGAAGAGCAAATCGGAGAAGACATGAATACTCTTGATGGGACATTCTTGCAAATATATAATGAAAAATATAAAAATCATGTAGTTATTATAACATAAACAACTAATAGTAAGCTATAAGACATGAAAAAGTGATGATATATGAGATATGACTGATTTCGGTACATCATACAACTACTATCTAAACAATAAATTAGAGAATTCATTAAGAATGTAATGTATTACCCATTCTCCTTTGCATATATATTTAAATGTCTATAGAAAAAATGTCCATAGAACCAAATAGTTGAAGAGATCCTACTTACCAAGCACATTAAATCTACGACAAAGTCTCCTAAACTTCATAAATTTAGCATAAATAGTTTCCATTAACATAAATATGAAAAAAGGCTTGCTCTGGTATGAAATAGCATGAACTATCTTATTTTATTTGCTTATTTAAACCTTCTCTATTCCTTCTACTTTTGGAGAGAATAATTAGAAACCAATTAGGATACATGATATAACATCCATAAATTTCTTTGAATTAGGTACCTAAGAGGATTTATTGAAGTATCTAAGCAAACAAAGAAACAATAGAAGTTGATACTTCTATGTATAATTGATGCAAAACGACCATGAATTAAATGAAATGATTATATTTTGCTTTATGATTAGTTTCATTTGTTCAGTTTTCATTTCATTTCCTTCAATTTACATTTCATTTCATGGTAATTAAGGTGCTCCCTTCTATAGCTAAGGAACAAGGGTTGTAGTGAGGGATTAAAGAGAAAGTGAGGTACATTCAACATTTTCCCACTTATGAGCTTTCTTGCATTATTTCTCCTTCCCTCTCATTGATGCAAGCAAGGATCCGGTCTTCTAATGTAACTAATATGATGATTAGTATGACTTCAAGCAAACACAAGCTAAAAATTCACAAATTAACAATTATCAATCAAGTCAACAACTCACTTTATTTACAATGAAACAGAAGATAATACTCTGTAAGTAGGGCTGTCAAAATGGCTCATTGTTCGCGAACAGCTCGTGTTCGGCTCGTTCGCTAAGTTAACGAGCCAAACATGAACAACACGAACAAATATTTGTTATATATATATATATATATCTTTGATGAGTAGTATTTTTAAAAAAAATAATTGACTACAAGGCTACAAAGATTTATAATTAATTAAAAGTATTAATGAAAAAAATACAATAAAAATTATTAAATTAGATTCAAATGATGTTTTAAATATTTCCCCGATCCTTAACATTTATGGCTTCGCGATTAGGGTTGTCAAAACGACTCTTTGTTTGTGAACGGCTCGTGTTCGGATCGCTAAGAAAATGAGTCGAACACGAACACACTTTTTGAGCTCGAAATATAAACGAACCCACAACGA